ACAAAATTAATATTTTAAAAGTGAAGTACTACAAAAATTGTTTGGTAAAATATGAGAGACATTTTGAATAATTTTCTCAACTTTAATTATTTGTAAGTCACTAATTTTCTAAATATATTTTTAAATACTAATATAATTGATAATTTACAAATTTCAAATACCGCCTAAATAATCTAAATAAGTAGATGGAATTAAGAGGATTTCAAATCCTTCACCCAATCTCTCAATCCAAACATTGCACTAAAGTATTTCAATATTTGGTAATTATTTGTCAGCCCCTACCGGTAAAAAGAAAAAGATAACCAATATATTCACACCTGAAATTTGTGGAACAAGTTCCTGTTTCTCATCCAGGCGTCTTCATGCACATAAATTTTTGTGCCTATATATTAATTTACGCGGATTGTAGGCATGGGTACTCAAATAATGATTCGTACTTTTTGTTCTTTATTTTTTGGGATTTAAATGGATTTGAAACAGGCAAAGAAATAACCTCTGAGACGTGACCAGTCATAAGCTACGACGAAAATGATATACTGTATTCGTTCCATTTTAATAGGTTTGTTTTTTTTTTTTTTACACAGTTTGAGAAAAGTTAATTAATTGTATCGAAAGAATAAATCTAACTCGCTATCTTTATAAAATACCTTTACATTAAATGAAATATGACTAATTAACTTTGCATTAAATAAGTTAGCTTATATTCGGTAACAATTTACATTAAATAAGCATATTTTTAAAAAAATTATAAGATAATTACATTATTCAGATGAAAACTGAACTATAATTTGGGACGAACGAAAAAACAAAAATAAACCTATCAAACTGGGGCGAAGAAAGTAACAAGACGCCACAAAAACGACCTACATGAGTTTTGTTTGATTGAAGAAATGGATAGAGTGGGACGACCAATACGTGAAAGATGGTGTTTTTAACTTGCTGGATTCAATAAACGCCAATTCGTTCATTGAATTCATTCTTATCCAAGTTAAGTGCATCCACCACTCGTAAGTCAACTGATTTGCTTTCTTTTTCAATGGGAATCCTCACTACATGATCTCGAAAGCTTCAATTATCAACTGAAAACTACACTTTCCTACCAATAACATTTTCACAATGGTTCATCCTGCTTCCCATTTTCTTATGGATGGAATTGAACCCGCACCTTTCTCGTTGTTTTCGTTTCAGCCAAAATTTTTCTTCGAGTAGAAACTGGTTGGACCACCTCATCACCCTAGTGATAAATAAATAGCTAAAATACATCACGATTTTATACCTTATATACATATGTAGAAAACCAAAATACGTACATTCTGGTTGGAAATTTCATATAAATTCGATCAATTTCATTTCCTACAAAAGCAAGTAAATCCAAATTCCAAACACTCTCTCTGTAATATACATGTCATGATCTTGAATAATGATTTTTGTCCGTCTGAGTCATCCGAATTGATGTACACACCTCTTATTTGCATTGCCTCCGAGTTATCTCATTACTTTTTGTCAGACTTTTTTCTTAATGATGAAGTTTCAAATTCATTTTGTTCACATCGGCCATTTTAATTATTGAATGAATGATATCTTAAATGATGTCGAACAAATTTCAGCTTAAGGTTCTTGATCATTAATGAAGAGTAATCTAATTATGCCTATGCTTAATATCCTGTTAATGCCCCTTTAGACGAAGTTGCACCTAATTATCAACTTCAGTCCTTTGATTTGCAATTGCAATCCTTCGCTTGGTGGTCCTTTGCTTTTTTCTTTTTCTGCGGCTAGTTGGGAAGGTGATATCCCCAATTAATGATGTAATAAAGGTTTGGTTTCGAGGCAGCAACAATAGTTATTAAATCCAACCCGACAAGGAATTCAGCAGAGGGATCGAATTACTGGATCATTGGTTCAATCAGCAGGTCACTAGTTGAGCCAGTGGATACTAAGTTAATATTTATAAATAAAAAGCAGCAATTTTGATATATGTAAAATGTCTAATAAAGTGCTTGTAAATACTAGCTGTTATACTTAAAAAGATAGATGATGAACATATAAATATTAATAGAAGATTTAAGTTCATTGTATCATTTCATTTTTGTTTAAAAGTAAAATTAGTTTTTAACTACTAAAATATTATCAATTTGAAAGTTAAAAGGCTTAATTGTATAATAAAAAAGTAAACAAGTTTATTTTTAAAAATATCAAATAAAAACTAAACAAGTGGTAAATTCTTATATATATCTAAATGAAGATTCAATGTACAACTCTTACAAAAAGAGAGAGTGTGTGTGTATGTGTATCCTTATATTATATAAGAATGAGTTGTGATTAAAAGAGGTTTGAATTTCAACCGTATGGATAGGGATTTTTTGAGAATATGAAATGTTGCACAGTATTTTTAAAATTTTTTGGTACAATTGAGAACAGCATGTCTTTAGGTATATTTACCAAAATGCCCTCATTTTGATACATTTAAATCTTTGATTTATGGAGACATTTGGGTATTTCTAGAATATGGAATTATTTTGCAACTGTTTTTGCATCGAGTACAACTCATATAAGTTTATGTATTAGTATAATTATTAAAATGGTGTTACAGACACATTTAATTGAAGTGCAGCTTTTGTTGTGCAATTAACACAAAAACAAATTAACACGTTGTGCAATTAACACGTTGCCATCACTAGTCATTGGAGAATATTCCTCTATTTGAAACAACTTTTGTCTGCTCTTTGATGATTTTCAACTGACACTTGTAGGGGTCTTTCAACAATGATAAAATTGTAATAGCATTGATAAAACAAAGTATACAAGTGTGTATTACAATTAGAATGTACTATTATACCTTTGTCATATTTGATGACTATTTCTTTTCACAGTGTACTATTATTTGTTCAATGAAAAATCCTCTCTAACCACATGCACCAAACAAAGGGGTTTGAATTTCAACCATATGGATAGAAATTTTTTGGGAATGCGGAATGTCGTGTAATTTTTTAAAAATTTTTGATACAACTGAGGGTAGCATGTGTTTAGGTATATTTATCGAAATGTCTTCATTTTGGTACATTTAAAACTTTTGTTGGTATAATTACTGAAATAATGTTATAGACACATTTAATTGAAATGTTTTTCATACAATATATCAAATATTTTAAAAATATTTATAGTAAAAGTTTTTCATATAGACTACCATAGTAAAATTTTTCAAAAATATCTCAAAAAACAACTAATAAAAAATACTGTCATAGTTATTTTAAAAAAGTCTCCTACTCGAGTATACCACATTCGGACCTAATTTCAATTTCAATATAATTTTGTTCTTATACGAGGATCGTGGAGTGGATCGAGAAAACGGGTCCTAGAGTTTCACAGTCTAAATTACTTAAGTCAGATATGGAGCACCCAGCATTTTTATCCATTTGGTATATGACTAATGTAATTCTATCATTAATGCAGATGGCAGATTTAATAAAAATGATGATGTTTTTAATTAAAAGAAAAAAAAAAGGTAGGATAAGTATTGAAAAGCGTATAAATGAGATTGGTCTAAATTGGCGATTAGGAACCACAAACAAACAGAGAAACAAATTATTTTAGCGGGTACTTTGTAAGGCCAAACTGAAATACAAACTTATCACGTAACCATGAGAGTCACGTTTATTTTTTGTTTTTCCTTTCTGTCGTGAGAAGCAAGTTGAGACACGTCTCAACTTATTCCATCCTAGTATATATATATATATATATATATATATACTAGGAGGTTATCGGCTGTGCTAAGCACAGCCTAGGCCCCCTATAATCTGTTATCATATATTTTCATATAAGATAAGATTAACAGTAATGTTTGTGAAATAGCATTCTTAAAATTATAAATTACCAATCAAGTATGCAGCTAACAATATGAGACTAAACAAAACAAAAAAATCATTAGCATTGCAAAAGATAAGAGAAGATGACAAAAGATTGGCAAGTAGTTTGACAAACAGTTTAACATCTTCAAGTGCAAGTTTAGTCTTACAGAGATAGGAGATGACTTGCTAAATACTTAATATAAAGTGCGATCATAGGCTGCAATTACAAAAGATCACATATTGAGATCCATTAAGGTGCACAAAAGAACAAGTGGTTAATTGATCACAGCCAACGCCCATTGAGATTAATTGATTGCTGTCAAGAAACAAGGAAAATTTATAAAACAATATGAAAAGGGAATTTGTTGTTTAATGGAAAGAAAGTTAAATATCTATAAATGAATGAACATATGCAAGATGTTCATTCTAAATTGTAATGATAATATAAATTTTTTTTTCAATATAGCATGACATTGCTAAATCCCAAAAAAAAAAACAGGTACACTGGATTTTGAAAATAGTAAAACAATAAAGGAAAATGTTTAAAAAAAGATTTAGTGGTTAAGGTGTCGATTTGCAAAATATATATTAGCATAAAATAATTTGGGCTCTTTGTAATTAAGATGGTGCTATCAAAGATATTCGTCATGTGCATGTGTAGATGGTGGAAGAAGTGTACTAAGAAAAATTTGAAATTAACTAACATTTTTTTGTAATTATGTTCATATCAGTGTGGTACGCACAGCCAATGCCTATTGAGATGTATTGATTGGTGCCAAAAAAGGTGGAAAATTTAGTTGTAGAAGAAACGTAAAGGAGAAGAGTTTATAAAGCAATATGAAAAGGGATTTTTTGTTGAATGTGATAAAATAGTTCATTTTAATAAGTAGTCAATGGGAAGAAAAGTATTTTATTGAAATATGGCTGAAAGCTAAGTAAAGATATCAAAAATTTATTTAAAAGTTGTTTGCTTTTTAAACATTATACATTTTCAATTTGACAAAAACTGTGGCCACATTTCCCAAAAAGTTAAATATCTATAAATGAATGAATATATGTAAGCTATTCATTCTAAATTGTGAAGAATAAATAATAATAATGTTTAGTTAGTAATGTTGGCAAGAATGAAAATTAGTGAAAATGCGTACAATCAAATGGAAGCATAAAACGGAACTATATTATACAGGCATATTAGTGAAAATTAGTAATGCTGGAAAGAAGTTCTAATTATACAGGCATTCTAAACACGAAAAGTAGACAAGTTTAATTTTAATCTTGAATGTTTAGGTTGTGGAAGTTGAGCTGATAAACGCCAAGACATCACAAAATAGCATTCTTTAAATCTCCATCATCATCTTGGACGTGCAAACATAGTACAGCAGAACCCATTTGATGTACATTATTTTCTTGGACGTGGAAGTTCAGCTTATTTCTGCTCGGCTGCAATTTGCTTGTTTCATTGGAGGAAGTTTGTTCAGCTGCTAAAGTTTGGCTTATTTCACCTCGGCTGACATTGGTGAAACGTTTTACTAAGTCACTTTTGGTCAAATGCAAAAGTACATTATTCTTTTACTTCCCGCACGTGACCTTGCTTTCTGTTTCCTTTATTTGGTAGTGCATTGGTCTTCAGACTCTTCACAGGAAATCAGGAACGGCTCCACCAACCCAACCACTCCAGTCTCGAGACGTCCTCTCCCTTTGTTACTTGCTCCCAACTTTTCAGTGATAGTACCGGATACCCTTTTCTCCACTGCTTTCATTAGCCATCCGACTCCCTCTCTCTTAACCCTTACTTTCTCTTACTTCTCGTCTTCTTCCTCATTTTTTTCTTCAACAATTGTGGCAGCAAAAGCTGACCAAACTTCTCAATCAAGTGTTAGAACACGCTTGAACACAATCACAGGCATATAAGTAGAAGATAAAGATAAACAAATCACTGAACCTTCCCCTTAATGCTTGCCAATTCTCCCCCTTCAGTTAGAAAATTACACAAAGAACTTGCATGCATAACCAATAATAAAACAAAATGTTTCCATAGTTTACAATCAATGCCAAAGTAACGCAATAGTTTCATTAGAAATGATTTGATCTTTTTTATTTGATAAAAACTTAAGACTATTCCTAAACTCATTTTATTCCTAAGCACATTTATTTTGTTATAGCTATGTCACCTTAAGTTGAATAACAATTTTCATTCTCAAGGTGAATTGTGAAAAATCTTTGGAAAATTAAAAGAAAGTCACCACCAGAAAATAGAACAGTACCTAACATGTTTAAGAAAACAATAGAAATAAAAGCATTCTTAAGAAAATAATAGAAGTCAAAATGCTTAAATCCAAACAACACTTCTGCCTTATAGAAAGAGAAAATTCCACCATTCATTTCACAAGCACAAAATGAGATTTATCATTAATTTTTTGAAGTCAAGCATCCCATGAAATTATCATCAAAAGTCAAGCCCTTCTAGGCTGTAAACAATTCCAGTCAACAACTTACATATTGGAAGGTTTACAAATTGAAAGAAATCTATTGCAAGCAAATACATGAAAAGGGATTAAAGATTAAAAAAAAATAAAACAAGATTTGCCCCAGTGGAATGAACCACTTATTATTTGCAAGCATCAAATGCAAAGCATTATCTATTGTCTTCATTCAAATGAATTCATTGAAATTAACAAATATGCAACTCGGCAAACTAAAATCGAAAACCCAATTATTAGCAAATACATCAATGTCAATGATTTTAATAATCAGTGCACAAGTTGAGACTTGAAAATTTAGAAGAAAGAGTCCTATTTCGTATCACTTAGAACATAGTTAACATACTACCAAAAACATATAATTAAATACAAATTCCTGATAATACATAGTTGCAGTGGACAAACAAAACACATACATGTTGTAAAAAGCCCACAATTTCTTGATAACTATTAAAGAACAAAAAGTATGACAGAAAGTACCTTAACTAACCACCGAATGTTAGATAACAAATCTTAATGTTCGTCAGCTCAGTATAGAGACCTGACAATACACATTGAATTAGGGAAATTGGAAAAAAGAGATTAAAAAAAGGTAAAATCATCTATTGAATGTACGTGATAAATGAGGTGGAAAGAAAAAGCCATCTTAAAAGGCAATAATACATATTATTGAGGAAATTTGGTGTCTCCATAATGAAAAAAAAAAGAGTTCTGAGAACAAAAAATTTCTTTTACTTTCCTGCAAACAATTCAATGAGGTTGTCCATGTTATCCTTTTTTTTTAAGGTTTTGTAGTCTAGAAACATAAGAGAGAATATCAAGAGATGGAATGATTCATGACTTAACAAAGTAGAGGAGGAAAGGACCTATTTTTTTCCCCCAAAGATAGCTTTGAAAAATTAATTTGCAAATCTTGATCAATTCCTAAGATCATCAAAAAAAAAACAATTTGCAAATTTCAATAATAGGAAGCCTACAAGTGAACATAAATACTAAAGTCACAACCTATTACCCTCAATCTTAGTAAGTATGGAACTCGTAAATTGTTACATCCCTAAAAGCTAATGAGCAAAAAAATACAATTTATTGTCTCATGAAATTCAATCGAGTAAAATAATAAGAGTTGAAAGAGGAAATTTTATACAAATAACTATACAATGAAATTACTAATTTGTAAGGTGGTTTAAAAAACATAGGGAAAGAAAAGAAGGCTTACCTCTCTGTCGAGAACATAGATCTCATGAAACTTGTCATAGAAACCTGAAACAAGAGTAAACTATAATGTACATATAAATACTAACGATAAAAAAGAAAACAAAAGACAATCATGTACAAAAAAAATTTCCAAGATTGCACTTGAAGGGAACATATATCTAAATTTTCAACTACACATCCAAAAATAAATCCAGAAAGCCAATATATACAGAAAGATATTTATTTTTAAAAGAAATCAAATTTACTGTAATTTCTGCAACCTTCCCTCAGACCATATACCCGACAATCCATCAAAGCCCATAAAGAGAAAGAGATCATCATCATGGTTTCGTCTCGGAATCCAAGTTCCATAGCATCAGAAAGAGAAGTTGCTGATAATCTTCAACCGACTGGAAATGATCAAAAGCAGGAGCTTGATGCTGGAGGCCTCTTTGTCCTCAAATCTAAAGGTAAGTTGTTCTCTTGCTTGCCACCCTTATAAGAAAAAAATTTTTTTTTGGTAAATATCAGAAATTTTCATTTGTTCCTCTTTTCTTGCTTTCCTTTATTTATTTGTTCTTTTCTTCTTACCCATTTCATTAAAGCCCATCAACGTATATTCACCTTTGACTAAACGCCGTCGATGAAATAGACATGCATGATTGATGATTATCATAATAAATCTTTAAATTTCAAGAAAGAGGTGCTTTTCGGCAGTAAATTTTGTTATTTTTTTTCCACTTTTAGACCTATCTATGCTTCTTCAAGATAGGAGGTGGTGTTGCTATGAGCTCTTTTCTGCATTAATAATGCAGTAATTCCCGCATACAAATACAATGGATCAATATACATCACCGGGAAAAAATTTACATCACAAATATATACATATTATATGTTAAAATTCGACTGGTAAACCCTCCAAAAAATCCAAAAGGCTAAAGAAGTCTTGATGATGAGAAAGAAAAAGAGTCTTACCTTGTTGTTCTTGTTGTTGCTCTCGGCCAGAATCAAAAACAAAAAAAAAACCAAAGAAAAGAAAAGAGGAAGAAGATGAGAGAAATTAGAAGAGTGAGACTGATGATGAAGAAAGGAGAGGACAAATGGGCATTTCTGACTCCTCGGTCTCCACCCCACCAGGTAATCACGATAAGGTTAAGGGAAAGAACAATAAAAGGGCACAAATATGGTTAAAATTACAAGAAAGCCCAACCAAACATTAATAAACGGACACACAAATCTCCAAATTTACGGGCAAAACCGGACCACCAAGGGCATTATAGAGAAAAAAAATGCAAAGTCAATATCAGAAAATTCAGGAGCCACAAATTTCACCTTTATGCCACGTTGGAAAGACCAAAATACCCCATGGAGCCATGCGAATTACCATCGAGACCAGCCCATTGTCAGCACATTTGCTCCAATGTGAAGCCTATAAACAAAGCAAAAGAAAAAGCTCCAAATTCATCCATTGTGCCATGTGTCAGCAACTTCAGCAAAACACTAAACCCCCCATTCTTCATATATACAAGGTAGATATATTTGTCCTATAATGATTCACAATCTGATAGAATTGTCTAACATACAACATCAATTCGATTCTCATCTATGTTCCATGACAGAGGGAATGAAGGAGGTGAAGTACCTTCGAAGTACTATTCTTGCATCACATGCACAAATTAACTCGGAATCTGGAAGATCTTGGTATTTCCATTGAATATGGTTAATAATCTTGATTTTGATCAAGATGAGATGATTGGGAGGTAATGGTTCGTGTTTTCTGGTGATAAACACTTTAATTAGTCGAAAGAAAGACGATGATATACTGTTACCAGCTCTACCCGGATGACGTCACCCAACCCAATAGAATGACGTCATGGGTTGAGTGACGTCATTCTATTGGGTTGGGTGACGTCATCTGGGTAGAGCTGGTAACTGTATATCATCGTCTTCCTTTCGACTAATTAAAGTGTTTATCACCAGAAAACACAAGACCCATTACCTCCCAATCATCTCATCTTGATTTATACTTTGTTTCAAAGACAAAAAACCACAATTGTTAAAAACATGGGGGGTCGATTGAAAAATCGAACCGGTTCCTAGTTGAATCAGTGGATGAAATGAGTTTGACTGGATCAACTTTTTGTTTCGGTCAAACTAAGGACTCGATCCGACCTAATGCTCAAGTCACTAGGACGACTCGTTTAACTATAGCTGAACCCACCCAACCCACCCACTAATTTGAGAGGTTGGATTGGGTAATTTGGGTGTTGGGTCAATATTGGGTTGGGTAATAAAAATTCAAATATATTTTGGGCGGTTTGGGCATTTGTGTTGGGCACCCATTACCCAACTTAAATTTAAAAAACAAATAAAGAAATTAAATTCAAGTAATATAACTCTTGTTTCCGGCAACTTCAATGAGCCCAAAACTTCTTGTCTTGTTTGGCAGCAAATAATATCAAAACAGCTCTTGGTATAATCCCCTTGTCACATATCGATACCAGTCAAGAACCATGGATTCACTAAAAATAGTTCCTGATATAATAATCCCTTTGTCACGTAACAATAGTAGATTTTTTTTTGAAAAAACAATACTGGTTAAGAACAACGGATTCCATTATATGTTGCGATTTAATATGTACCTATATCAATATTGCTATATTGAATGAAGTATCAATACGGAATTCTAAAGTTAGAATCCAAAGCTGAGTACTCGAAAAATAGAGAATGGTTATAAAGTGGATCATAGATTAACTTTTCCTCTATAATTATAAAGTAGGACATCTTCTCCTTTATTTTATCATTTTTTTAAAATTTTTAGAAAAATGTAGGACCGAAGGCATTAGAATGTGCTTTATTGGTGACTGGTGGATGGTTGAGTTGTCATTGGACCTGTTTTAATGTTGTGTTAATTTTCCCAAAAATTTTCAAATGAATTGGATAGTGATATTTGAACTAATTGGTTGAGAATTATATCTCTCTCATCAAAATTTCAGTTTAATTAAGGCGTGATTGGATCTTTTATGATATTTGAAATATGTATGGTATGGCAAATGCTAAATCAAGTAACAAGACTTGGAAAATCGTATACTGGTATACCATTTTTTCATGCTATATCCAACTTGGACCAAATTTATTTTAGTGTGAGAAAATGTGTTTACGTTTGCAAAAAAAAAAATTTGTATGTAAAAATGTATTTGAGAGAATTTATGTATCAAAATCTATTAATTAATATATTGGGTCATATTTGGGTTATGGGTTTGAGATGACCCAATATGACCCAACCCAAAATTAACCCAATTTAAAGTTGGGCGGGTTGGGTATAACTCATTTATATAAAAGCCTAACATCAACCAGCCCAAAACCCGCCTAACCCGCCCAATTGCCAGGTATACGTTTAACCATTGGGTCCGGTCAAAATTAATAACCAATTCAACACATTCTTGTTTTTTACTCCACTTGTCTAAGACTAACTATTAAAAAAAAAGTCAAAGTGAAAAGCAAAAGTAGGCACACCACGCGAGGCGAATTACTCTCTTTGTCCCACTTTGATTGTCTTTTATTTTTTGTTCACGTAATTTAAGAAAAATTAAATAATTTTATTAAAAAGGTAAATCTAGCTTAATATTTTTCTAAAATACTCCTACATTAATATTAGGAGTATCACTAATCACTACATCTTTCTATTAATTACAACAACAATAATGACGGTATATTGCACAATTCAAGACATGTATCAAAGTAATTATTAGTGAAAAAGTTGATTGTATTAAATAAGGTAGGTTGTTATACTGATAAAATGAGTATATTAAATAAGGTTATTTTAGAAAAAATAAAAAATTAACTATATATTTCAATTAGAATGTGGATTATAATTTGAAACAAATGAAAAGGAAAACAAGACTATCAAAATGGGATGGAGAGAGTAATTTCTTAAAAGCAATTAGTATTAATTATGAATAATTATTTTATACCCCCATTTTTTTTTTCTTTCCGTGGCCGTGGACCAAGCAACCGTGGTGGACGGAGGAATATCGATGTTTTCACTTCAGCTTCACAGTTTTAAATATCGATGATTCCCTGGAAATCACAGAGTCTTGCTAATGTAAGCGGAGTAATAGCAGCTAAGGTCCTCCAAAGGAAGCGGCAATAACAAGTTAATAACATGAAATGCGAGGGCCCATGTGATGCCCGTCGACTAATTAAGGCTCCCCCTGTCCCTGGCGGCCTGGCCCCGTAGGAGTGTGTTCTTTCCTGATTTTGTCTGTGTATATATATAAACACACATACACATATATGTACATGTATGTATATATATGCAACGAATCTTCTGTCCCACACCCTGTGCCACTCTTTGTCCCACTTTTTACTATTTTGCTATTTCTCCTTTATAAATATCATGTTTTAGTTCTTTTTTGTTTTCTTAAGATTCAATAACTATTAATTCAGTAAAAAATAAATACAACAGTTTCAAAAAAGTAATATATAATATAAAATTAAAAAATACAGCAGAAAATTCAGAAAAAATCTCATTTTTTATGCATTTTGATTTTTTGAGTTTGTTAAATTTTGTGTATTACTGAATTAATAGTTATTGGATCTTAAGGAAACAAAAAATAACTAAAACATGATATTTATGAAGGAGAAATAACAATATAATAAAAAGTGAGACAGAGAGTGACTCAGGGTGTGGGACAGAAGATCCGTTGCGGTATACATATATATGTATGTGTGTATATATATTAGATGCCTAATTTTAGGCTAAATTGTTTCCTCTCCATCTCTGGTCAAGTTTATGGATATTATTGGTGACTCATAATGTTTTTGGTCATGAAATTCAAACTTTTGTTAACGTTACAACTTTATTTAGCAAGACACACACTAATATTTATTAGTGTGCAATTAATAGGAAAAATATTTGTAAAATTTTTTAATTATGTTTATTGAAATCATTTTGAGTTCATTAGTGGATAGCTTTGATGAGTAGTTTATTATGGGTGTTATGAGATAGTGAATATGCATTTTATATTTATCTTTTTTTCCTTTAAAATTTGGATAAGAGTTTATTTGGATGATTTATTTGAGATAATTATTATAATATTTTTTATGATGTGATGCATGCGAAATAAAAAAGTGATTGAACAGATAAAAAAAGTGATTGAGATTTGTGAGGCCAATTATTTTTTTCAAAACCTCTCTATCCAAACACAATCAAAAGAAGCAAAAGCAAAACTGGCAACGACATAAGCACCATATTACGAGACGACGGTGTGAATAAGCGTTAAGGACGGTGGGTGCCAGAGATCTCCATGTTGGAGGTGCCACCATCCAATGAAAAAACGCCACGAGTTGGCTGTCCGTTCCCATATGGTATTCAAAAAAGGATAATTTCAGAAACCTCCCCTGAGGTTTCTGACAGTCTCAAGGACCTCCCCTGAAGTTTCGAAAATCCCTTATACCTCCCCTGTCAGATTGTTGGGTCCCAAAATGACTTGAAAAACGTTGAATTGACACAAATATCCCTGCTGTTGAAGTAATATATTCTGATAATAACATGAATTAATTAGTGAAATGAGTAATAGAAAGGATTAAGTAACTTAACTGAAATTTGATAATAAAATGAATTGCTAATTTGGGCTAAGAGAAAAGGCGCCAAAAATTGCATCAAACTAGCAAGCTTTTTGGTTGGACTGTATCTTGCATCCGATAATATACGAATTCCTAGAAAATTGCCTAGAAAATTTTCTAGAAATTTATTTATCGGATAAAATAAATTTAAACCCATTGTTAAATAAAAGACCAGCTCTTTATGGCTTTCGTCCATTATACTTACAGAGTACCCATTTTCCTTCAATGCGAGATCATGTACCTTGCATTTAACAAATGCAAGGTCATGTACCTCAGTTTCCCATCATTGTTTCGTATGATGCTTCCATATTTTGGCATGATTTTTCCGAAAAATTTTTATTTTAATTCAATAAATTTATTTTATTTTATTTTAATTTCGGCATTCAATGGGTTCAAAATATGAGATTTTGTAGATTTTGAAGTTTAAGGAAGGAATATTTGAAGTTTAACGACCGTTATACAACTTTCAAAACAAACAAATTCATTCTGCTATTTTTTTGGGATAATTTCA